TATAGGGCATAGAGTAATGACAAATAAAAATCGCTTGTTATTACCACTAAAAAGGCTCAAAATAGCCCCACACTAACACGATAGGATAATAACAGTCCCTACATACAAACCGAAGCATTGAGAACTTTGTCAGTGTCCATACAGTTCAATAAGCAGATATTTTATACACACCGTCAACTTCGCGAATACAGGAAGAAGCCATCTTGGAAAATAGTCTCTACCAGTCGATCTACGAACGCCGATCCATGTGCACCGGTGAGATGTGAATAAGGTGATAAGGTGAGCGCGAACAGTAGGCTACGTGTACATACGGAAGAGAAGAAAACGGTTTGTGTTTGTGTTTCTTCCGGAAACAACGGACCATATAAGATTCTGCACAGTTCAGCGCACTTGGATCGGCGCTCGTAGATCGACTGGTAGAGACTATTTTTCAAAGATGGCTTCTTCCTGTATTCGCGAAGTTGACTGTGTGTTTAAAATATCTTCTTATTAAACTGTATGGACACTGACAAAGTTCTCAATGCTTCGGTTTGAATGTAGGGACCCTTATTATGCTGTCGTGTTACTGTGGGGCTATTTTGAGCCTTGTTAGTGGTAATAACAAGCGATTTTTATTTGTCATTACTCTATGCCCTATATACTAGCATTATACTAGCGTTATAGGCTAAACTGTTTTTAGAGATAACACTATTTACATTCGGCAATCATGAAAACAAATCTCAGATAACGGTTGACTAGGTAGCAATGTGTAATTAGACCAGAGGTTCATTTTGCGCCGGAGTTATCCTTTAAAGTTCCTCTGTGGTGAAAATCCAGCTTTTAATGTTGTTTATGTTGCTATGTGGTGTTTTTAATGTGCTTTAAGACAAACCATATGCAATTTCATAAATCAACAGCATTATTGAGTATTTTCTTCTTAAAACTACAGCGAAACAAAGACTGTCTCAAAAACACGGTTTGAAATCGTTGGTGTTTCTGACGTCACAAACGACCTTGTAACCAATCGGGTGCGTTTCCCGAAAGCATCGTTAGCCTTATCTTGAGCAATATAAGCGAGCTGACATTCAGTACAACCGGTGCCTTTAATTCAGCATACATACAAATATAATTTACGTCTTTTAGTTTGTCAAAAGATTTAAAGTACCGATTTTGAAGAGTGTGCATATGCGAACGTGCTCCACTATGTAAGAACGAGCCAAATATTGAGTTTGGTGATAAAGTTTTTACTCCACCACCAACGTGAAACCAACGTGGTTGAACGATACTTTGCGACAATGGGTTTCGGGAAACAGTCGCGACTAGCTAGTTGATTTCTCTAACGATGCATCGTACTATGATAGTGAAGCAGCGAGTTACATCATTGTACGGGGAATGCACCCCTGATCAACGTGTGATCGTCAACCAGTGGACCTCTGAGTGAGTGAGTGGAGGCGGGGCTCATTTGCATATTTATAGAATAGCTTATACTAAATGAGACAAGGGTGTCGGGTTTCATTCAAGTTATTTCAAGGCATGATTTTCAAAGAAAAATTTGGTGATCAAAGATGAGCTTTAAGGGATGAAGTGATTGGGGTGACTTTAACAGAAAGTCTTAGCTGCCTAGAACACTATTTCCACAACTAAATCTAATTTACTCTTCAAGCAACAAACACACAAGTTTCACATGTATGCTTCTAAACTCTCCTTTTCCTATAGATTCCTATTGTAAGTGTATTACGGTAATGACTCGAGCGCATAGATTTGTTTGTTTTTACAAACTAAGGGTCGGCTCAAAATAATTTTCTGTGGTAATCAAGATTATGCCAAATCATTTGATGATGATAAAGATTAATTTATATTGTATTGTTTATATCGACTGTACCCATTTACATGCAATACACGCTTTTGATCGTGTCTCATGCTGAGTCAGTAACTCACGCCAAACTACGTTAAGAATATGCACTAACTTTGTGGCATATGCTAGCCAGGATTTTTGTTTACTCTCTAGAAAAACTAGCAGCTGCCACCCCTAGTGTCTGGACACCGGTTCAGTTTGGGACTAATTATAGTCTCTAGTCCCGCAGTGCGGTGGGAAAGAGGATACTGGCATCGCATGGAGTCACTGAACGAGCTAAATATAACGTGAAGGCTAATCCACCGCTAGTTTTGCGCAGCTGTATTGTGACAGTCTTGCATTCTGCACATTATTAAATGACAGTTTAAATGAAAGTAGAAGTTTGAATGAACTTAAACTTTGTTAATGAAGGTGTTTAGACCTGATTTTTTCTGTAGATAGTAGAGTTGTATATATTTTGTCTATTAAAGGAACAGCTCACCCTCAAGTTGTTCCAAACCTGTATGAATATCTTTCTTCTGCTGAACACAAAAGAAGATATTTTGAAGAATGTCGCCGGTAACCAGACAGTTGATGGTCCCTGTTGACTTCCATAGTATTTTAGATGACAGAAATTATTTTTGGGTGAACTTACATATCATAAATATCTCATTTTATAATGAAACCAGCCCTGCCAGGACAGAACTCGTGTAGTATTTCCGTTACCTGGCGCTCCAGTAGCGTGTGGAGAGCACAGGTGCAGTGGACTGGAACACCCCTGATGAGTGAGTGCTGTTGTCCGGCTTCATGATCGTGTGTGTGTGTTGTCTTTCATCTTTGATCAAACAGATTATTGACCTAATGCAAACATCTTCTTTTTCTGGCTTAAATATATTTATAGCTCTCTAAATATATCTAACTCTGTTTCTTTCCATATGAGTAATGAAAGTCATGTTGTAAATAACTTGCTGTTTGTTTAAAGTGTATTAATAGATGTGTTTGGTTATTGGAAAGGCTCTTTGTCAACGAAACCAGCTGTATTTCAGGAACTAGTTGAGACAACAGTAAACATTGTAATAATAATGACTAAGTTTCAGTCTGTGGTTTAACACTACGCTGTAGCTTTAAATTAGAGCTGGGAGGAAATGCTTGAATGTTTTCACACACAACACTGCCCTCAGGTGGATTTAATAGATACGGACAATGATTATGAATGTTGATGTTGATATACAGTATTATGAGATTCACCCCTACATTATCTCCTAAACAAACATCTTTTCTTCTTCTTTGCAGTAAGTGAAATCATTGTAAGAGACTTGTTCGAGACTCCAGATTCAGGGGACGCCAGCAGCGCTCCGTAACTCAAAGATTCTCACGGAAACGAAACGATCTGAGACCTGGACATCTCATTGAACCGCTTGGACTGATTCGGTCTCAGTGTCCTGCATCTACTGCACACATAGAAAATATTTTCTATGAGAAATATCATGTACATAAAAGTTTTCTGCTTAAAAGTGGACGCTTATGGATTTTAATCGAGCATATCAAATGTGAATGTCATAGCTTTTGATCCAATATGTGCCTTATCCTGACTGGCCTTTTAATGATCTTATTGAAATGTTTCATTTGTCTTCAATTTTCTCCTTTTGATTATACATGTAAAATATATCCTCGGAAATTATGATAATCATAAAAAGTTTAAATTATAAGGGCAAAATATGCCGTGTTTAGCTTATAAAGCACAATCTCATGTTTTAATCTGCCGAGTGTTGACTTTAAAGAACTGTTACTGTTTGGCATTTTATTAGATATTTGACCCTAACTTTCCCATTGCTTGATAAGCTTTTGAAATGTCTTTGTATTTATGAATTTTTACTGAACATAAAAGAGATTTTGTGACAATCTTCATGAACTCCCAAGAAATTTGCTTGAATTGAAACTGTGAATAATATTAATTGGTAGCCTATTCACCTTGTTTGTTTGTTTGTTTGTTTGTTTGTTTGTTTGTTTGTTTGTTTGAAAAGTTTAAAAACTATTTAAAGTTAAAGTGTCCAATTTTTTATATAAAATTAATAAATTCCACATGAATTATAATAATAAAATATAAATATGTTTAAATGTTGTATGCATTTATTCAGCCCTATAACGAGTCTCCATAGTTTATGTGAGGTGTAAACAAGTAAGTTAACCCATAACTGATATTAATTGCAATAATATACTATTTTTGACTGAATCTGTGGTTATCATGGTAATGTTTTGTTAGGGTAATATGGCTTTTAGTCATAGCTGGCTACTATTTAAAGGAGTAATTCACTTAAAAAAAAAAATAAAAATAAAAAACTTTTGCTGATAATTTACTCACCCCCATGTCATCCAATATGTCCATGTCATTCTTTCTTCAGTCGAGAAGAAATTAAGGTTTTTAATGAAAACATTCCAGGATTTTTCTCCATATACTGGACATTACTGGGAACCAAACAATTCAAGGTCCAAAAGACAGTTTCAGTGCAAACTGTTCAAAGGGCTTTCAATTATTCCAGATGATGAATAAGGGTCTTATCAAGCGAAACAATCGCTCTTTTAAAAAAAAAATAATAATAATAACAAAGTTTAAGTTTTATAAGCTCAAATGCGCACCTTGCTCTGTTTTGTCCTGTTCGAACTCATTCATCAAAATGAACGAATCTTTTTCCGAGTCAATTCGTTAATTTCCTTTTTTTTTAATGAACCAATTGACTCGAAAAAAAGATTTGTTCATTTTGATTTACAGGAGAGTCACAAATACTCATCACAGAACAGAGCAAGGCGAGCATTTGAGCTTATAAAACTTATATAAAAAGTTTTTTTTTTTTTTTTTTTTTTTTTTTTTAAATGATCGATTGTTTCGCTTGATAAGACCCTTATTCATCATCTGGAATCATTTAAAGCCCTTTGAACAGTTTGCAGTGAAACTGTCTGTTTGGCTGAAACAACTGTTTGGACCAGAACCGTGTTTGGACCAACTGTTTGGACCAAAAACCTTAATTTCTTTTCGACTGAAGAAAGAAAGACATGGATATCTTGGATGACTTGGGGGTGAGTAAATTATCTGCAAAGTTGTTTTTTTTTTTTTTTTTTTTTAAGGTGAACTACTGCTTTTATGTAATTGTTGTTTACCCGGGAGGCCCCGCTTGTCGTCACATAAGCACCGGAAGTTCACAGGGTGACGTCTAAATCGATTCCCAGCCCTACTACGGTTAAGGCAGCGGAAACAGGTATGATGACTAGAAAGTGCCAGAAACAGCCAGAGAAACTGATCGAAACATGACATTTTAGAGTTTTATTTACAGCTAACAGATGCCAGACGGATCGTCGAGCATCACGGGTCAGATATAAAGACCGTCTGACGAGTTTATGAAACTGTTAGCAGCTAGTCCTGTTCTATCCAATACGTAGCTGAAGCAGATTAGCTTCCATGCTAATGTTGTTGTGAAATAATCAACTGTTCTGGAAATATTAACACTTATTTCAAAGAATTATAAACATTTAGCATTTAATTCGACGGAATGGGGTTAAAACATACCAGATAACATTATATATTGCATTTAATTCTAGCTTTAGAGTCTGTTGCGTGTTGTGTCTACGTGTCCTAAGATCTGTCAGACTGCATTCATACACAGTTTGGACTCTCAAATGAAAAACAGGCCTGAGTCCTGATAAGTGTTTGTTTTTAAGAGGAGTTTAAATACGCCTGTGATCTGTAAAAGGACACTGGTTCCCCCTGGACTCCCAGTAAGCAGACTGTGCAGAGGAACGCAGTGTGAGCCGAGAGGAGCGTCGGTCAATCGGTCAGAATGCCTCTGCTGTTTCTGGAGCGCTTCCCCTGGCCCAGCTTACACACATACACTGCCCTGAGCACTGTTCTGCTGGCTGGGACCATCCTGAGTGCCTACAGCTCGGTCAGAGACTCAGAGGACTCCTCTCCTTTGGCTGGAGACTCACCCAGCGGCTCTGATGAGGAGATCAAGCTGGATCCGCTGGAGAACTTGGGGAACATGGCCACCAGTGTGCTTGTCTATCTCATCACGGACACCCTGTTTGTCTGGGTATGTGGGACTAGCTTGAAAACACACCAGTGTGGAGTGAGGATGTTTTTATTTTAAAGAAGCTGTCGTTTTCCCCACAGGTGATGGTGAACACGGCATGCTGCATCCTCATGTTGATCGCTAAAGTGATCCAGTGCATTGTGTTCGGCCCGCTGAGAGTGAGTGAGAAACAGGTAGGAATCATTCACCTCCACATCTACTGTGTCAGGCACACACACAGCCAGCTTTTGCCGCAACACTTATATAAGGAAGATCTTCATAACAGACATCCTCGACATCTTCTTGAGTTCTTTTGTCAGTTCCATATACATAATATAGAATAAAATATAGGTCATGTCATGGTTTTATTTATTTTAAGTTCATTTTCTGTGATGAAATGTCTTTTTGTTGTTTGTCAAAACCAATGTCTGGAGAGTCGAATGGATAGAATTTTAGTATTTACATATTTAAATAAGTTTACTTTTCTTAGAGGTGCTATATATAACTTTTCTTCTAAAATGAATCATTTTGTTATTGTTAAGGGGTTGTAATCACACATTACAATGATCCATTTGTCAGGTTTTGCTGTTATCTCTGAAGGCCAGTATTCCTATTTCTATGTGAAGTCTCCGGGTCGGATTTTCTGCGAAATCCATCGGATGTGACGTGCATGTGCGCTCCCGAGCCTCTCTCCTTTATCTAGTCTATGTGACTATATAACAACAAATTTTGCTGGACGATAAATTGTCCAAGAAATGATTGCGATAAACGATAATATTTCTGATTATACGTTCTGAGACCATTTACATCTAAAATAATGATAATGGCTTAATAATGCAGGTACACCTTTTCAAAGATCAACTTTTATTTTTAAAGACTATTTAACACTGAAAATGGAAAACATTTTAAATAGCCACAATAAATGAACAAAACAACCAAAAACTATAAAAGCAGTGTATCTGTTAACACAAAATGCACTTGAATAAATACCAAAAAACAATAAATTAAATGGATGTAAACAAAACCCGACCATACAGTGGTGTGAATAAGTGTTTGCCCCCATGCTAAAGTTGCCTAAAAAGAGGAATAAAAAAATCATCTTTTGGATGTTGATCTTAATGCCTTAATTAAAAAAAAATGAGGAAAACTCCAACCTTTAAGGACACACATTTTCTTTGTGAATGAATAATGTATCATAAATAAATAAATGTTTTTCCTTAAAATACAGGGTGCATAAGTCAGGGCACCCCTATGTTAAATTCCCATAGAGTCAGGCAGATTTTTATTTTTAAAAGCCAGTTATTTCATGGATCCAGGATAATATGCATCCTGATAAAGTTCTCTTGGCCTTTGGAATTAAAATATCCCCACGTCATCACACACCATTCACCACACCTAGAGATTAGACTATTTCAAATAAATGCTTTTCTTTTAATTTCGTATTCATCAAATAATCTGATTTCCCAGATTGAGGCCTCAAAAACATAAGCAAACCGTACCTACACCTTGTGACCAGTAGTGTATGTTCCTGTAAATTGTAAAAGTCTGCAGGTTTATCACATGATTTCAGCTGTGTTTTCTGTGTTCTGGCTCTTCTCTGTTGACCAGCATCTGAAAGATAAGTTCTGGAACTTCATCTTCTACAAGTTCATCTTCATCTTCGGCGTGCTGAACGTGCAGCGGGTGGACGAGGTGGTGCTGTGGTGTCTGTGGTTCTCCATGCTCATCTTCCTGCATCTGATGGTGCAGCTCTGCAAAGACCGCTTTGAATACGTGAGAACACATCTACACCACATCAACACACACATGTTCAGAGATCTGTAGTAGTGCTGTTTGACTCACTCATTCATGTACTCGTTTACTTTACACTGCATCATTTCAGCAGGTACTGTTTTTCTAAACATTGCTTTAACCAGCAATATAATCCAAGAGATATGTCACTCTGAAATTGTAAGATAATCAGTATAATTAAGACCTTTATGTATATTTTTATTTGATGGAAATACTACCTACCTTTCCTACTTCCTTCCTTTCTTCCTTCATTTTATGTTCTTATTAACTTCCTTCCTTCTCTCTCTCCTTCCTCTGCTCTTATTTACTTCCTTCATTCCTCCTCTCTCTCTTTCATCTGCTCTTATTTACTTCCTTCTCTCTCTCCTTCATCTGCTCTTATTTACTTCCTTCTCTCTCTCGTTCCTCTGCTCTTATTTATTTACTTCCTTCTCTCTCTCCTTCCTCTGCTCTTATTTACTTCCTTCCTTCTCTCTCTCCTTCATCTGCTCTTATTTACTTCCTTCCTTCTCTCTCTCCTTCATCTGCTCTTATTTACTTCCTTCTCTCTCTCCTTCCTCTGCTCTTATTTACTTCCTTCCTTCTCTCTCTCCTTCATCTGCTCTTATTTACTTCCTTCCTTCTCTCTCTCCTTCATCTGCTCTTATTTACTTCCTTCTCTCTCTCCTTCCTCTGCTCTTATTTACTTCCTTCCTTCTCTCTCTCCTTCCTCTGCTCTTATTTACTTCCTTCCTTCTCTCTCTCCTTCATCTGCTCTTATTTACTTCCTTCCTTCTCTCTCTCCTTCATCTGCTCTTATTTACTTCCTTCTCTCTCTCCTTCCTCTGCTCTTATTTACTTCCTTCCTTCTCTCTCTCCTTCATCTGCTCTTATTTACTTCATTCTCTCTCTCCTTCCTCTGCTCTTATTTATTTACTTCCTTCCTTCTCTCTCTCGTTCCTCTGCTCTTATTTACTTCCTTCTCTCTCTCCTTCCTCTGCTCTTATTTACTTCCTTCCTTCTCTCTCTCCTTCATCTGCTCTTATTTACTTCATTCTCTCTCTCCTTCCTCTGCTCTTATTTATTTACTTCCTTCCTTCTCTCTCTCGTTCCTCTGCTCTTATTTACTTCCTTCTCTCTCTCGTTCCTCTGCTCTTATTTACTTCCTTCTCTCTCTCGTTCCTCTGCTCTTATTTACTTTCTTCTCTCTCTCCTTCCTCTGCTCTTATTTACTTCCTTTCTTTCTCTCCTTCCTCTGCTCTTATTTACTTCCTTCCTTCTCTCTCTCCTTCATCTGCTCTTATTTACTTCCTTCTCTCTCTCGTTCCTCTGCTCTTATTTACTTCCTTCATTCCTCCTCTCTCTCCTTCCTCTGCTCTTATTTACTTCCTTCCTTCTCTCTCTCCTTCATCTGCTCTTATTTACTTCCTTCTCTCTCTCGTTCCTCTGCTCTTATTTACTTACTTCTCTCTCTCCTTCATCTGCTCTTATTTACTTCCTTTCTTTCTCTCCTTCCTCTGCTCTTATTTACTTCCTTTCTTTCTCTCCTTCCTCTGCTCTTATTTATTTACTTCCTTCGCTCTCTCCTTCCTCTGCTCTTATTTACTTCCTTCTCTCTCTCCTTCATCTGCTCTTATTTACTTCCTTCCTTCTCTCTCTCCTTCCTCTGCTCTTATTTATTTACTTCCTTCGCTCTCTCCTTCCTCTGCTCTTATTTACTTCCTTCTCTCTCTCCTTCATCTGCTCTTATTTACTTCCTTCCTTCTCTCTCTCCTTCATCTGCTCTTATTTACTTCCTTCTCTCTCTCGTTCCTCTGCTCTTATTTACTTCCTTCATTCCTCCTCTCTCTCCTTCCTCTGCTCTTATTTACTTCCTTCATTCCTCCTCTCTCTCCTTCATCTGCTCTTATTTACTTCCTTCTCTCTCTCGTTCCTCTGCTCTTATTTACTTACTTCTCTCTCTCCTTCCTCTGCTCTTATTTACTTCCTTTCTTTCTCTCCTTCCTCTGCTCTTATTTACTTCCTTCTCTCTCTCCTTCCTCTGCTCTTATTTATTTACTTCCTTCGCTCTCTCCTTCCTCTGCTCTTATTTACTTCCTTCTTTTCTCTCCTTTCTCTGCTCTTATTTACTTCCTTCCTTTCTCTCCTTCCTCTGATCTTATTTATTTACTTCCTTCGCTCTCTCCTTCCTCTGCTCTTATTTACTTCCTTCCTTTCTCTCCTTTCTCTGCTCTTATTTACTTCCTTCCTTTCTCTCCTTCCTCTGCTCTTATTTACTTCCTTTCCTTCTCTCCTTCCTCTGCTCTTATTTACTTCCTTTCTTTCTCTCCTTTCTCTGCTCTTATTTACTTCCTTCTCTCTCTCCTTCCTCTCCTCTTATTTACTTCCTTTCTTTCTCTCCTTCCTCTGCTCTTCTTTACTTCCTTCCTTGCTTCCTTTGTTTCTGTCCTTCCTTACTTTCTTCCTTATTTCCCTTCATTTTCTCGCTTCTTTCCCTCTCTCCACTCTTTCCTTTCTTAATTTCTTTTATTTCACTTTCTTATTTACTCCCTACCTTCCTTACCTTCTTCCCTTTTCCTTCCTTCCATTACTCTTATTTACGTCATCCCTTCCTTCCCTCCTTCCTTCCTATTGTTTGTACTTGCATCTCTCCATCCTTCTCCTATTCCCTCTTCCTCTGGGGAGAGTTGCTGATACACTGTTGTTTGTCCCGCCAGCTCTCGTTCTCTCCCACGACCCCGATGGGCAGTCACGTGCGCGTGTTGTCTCTGCTGGTGTCTGTGCTGCTGTGCTGTGGGGGTCTAGCTGTGCTCTGCGCTGTAGTCGGGCATCTTCACAGCATGCACACTGTGGCCTTCATGGCAGCGGAGGTGAGAACCCTACAATCCTCTTTAGCTACTGAAGAGTACATTCCCTCTTTGGTTTTCCCTCTTTCCCTACACTCTGAAAGTAGGCATGATATGGAAGAAGTCGTGATGGTCTCTCCACAAAAAAGATGTAGATTTAGCAATGACTGTAGACTTGATTTTGTCCATGGGGAATTGATTGGATGTTTGCTATTGGGGAGTCTTGTGTGTGTAACAGCTAATTGATATGAATAAAGATTAAATATTAAAACAGCACATTAACTTTACAAAACAATAATGATGTGCAATAATAAATGCTACCAGGGCTTGACATTAAATATTTTGCTTACCTTCCACTATGGCTAGTGGTTTTCTATAGTTAATTAGCATTTAATCAACGTGTTCACTGGCTACAATTTTGACATTGATACCTTAAGGAAAAACTGCCATATATATTTCTTAAATATTTTCTCATAATTTGGCAGCAGGATTATTAGGCTGCTGTCACTTTAAGACTTATCACACTGATCCATTATACTGTTACACATCTTTCTTAACTGTTCACCTAAAACACAACTGTCTGTTTACGTGAATACTTGCCAAGACCGGCATTTTATGTGTATTTGACTGTTTCAGCGCAGTAAGCAGCGGAAAATAACTAAATTTAGTGCTGAGATGCCGCTTTGTGCGCATACTTTGGGTGTGAGCTCAAAGTCTGCAGGAATGAGTGTAATTATGCGCAATACTTGCAATCCCACGCCGAAATTCAAGCCCTGTAACAGCAAGTGAGTGAGGAGAGGCAGGTTTGTGTCACTCGCTGTCGGAGAGATCATCTCTCTCTCACATGATATTTCAGTATTATTCAGTATCAGATTCAGATATTTCTGTATCGATATGTATCGAAAACTTTTTTTTTTGTTTTTTTTTGACAACACTACATTGCACTTAGTTTGCATTTAACCAGTTTGTTATTTCGGATGTTCTTATATACTAAAATAAAAAAATGTATTGTAAAATTGTGTGACTGCGTTACACGCTACTGCTGAAACACACACACATTTGGCAGGTTGGCGGGTGTTTGTCAAGCCCTGAATACTGCAATATTCTATACAATTATATTATGCCCACTTGAAGTAACCCTAAGCTTTGTCTCCTGTCCTGCAGTGTTTGCTGGTGACCGTACGCACAGGACACGTCATCATACGGTGTGTGTTTGCTCCGTTAAGAAAGCCATCAGCTTTGCTCAATGTGATTAGCAGAAGCATGTATCTGAGGGTTTTGATCTGTTATGTACAGGTACTCCATTCACCTGTGGGACCTCAACCACCAGGGCACCTGGGAGAACAAGAGCTCATACATCTACTACACTGACTTCATCATGGAGTTGACCATCCTCTGCCTGGACCTGATGCATCACATCCATATGCTGGTGAGCTCGGTGCTGTGTAGCGGTCATGTGACTGGCTCATAGTGATGGATGAATGTGGTCTGACTGGATTCTTATTGAGACTGTTTAACATAATTGTAAGCAGCTTCTTACTGATCAGTGAACATTATGTTCCTGATTTCACATGTTTGCGGCCTGTCTGTCACGAACTTCCCCAAGTGAGCACCAGTGGCGTTGCATGATTTCTTTCTGTTCTCGTGTCGGTGTTTGAGAGTTTTTGAACAAATCCTAGTACCTTTATGATCATGTGTTGTTGTTGTTCACTCCCTCGCAGCTCTTTGGAAACATCTGGTTGTCCATGGCTAGTCTTGTGATCTTTATGCAGCTGCGGTATCTCTTTCACGAGGTGCAGCGAAGGATTCGCCGCCACAAAAACTACTTGCGTGTCATTGACAATATGGAATCCAGGTGAGGATCCTAAAGCTTTTCAGACTGACTTTCAAATTTCAAATTCAAAGCCTGTAGAAACGCATCTTTTAATAAGCACAACATCTAAATAAAGATGCTAAAGTATGGCAAAGCTCAGGGCTGGTAACCAGAAGTTACATGTGCTATCAGCATTGTGCCCTTGATAAGAAATTTTACCTTTAATGAGTTTGTAAAATGAATGCTTATTTACATCAATATAGTTAAGGATAACTGTGCGAATCTCACAGAAACTCAAAAAAAAAAGAAATTCGATTTTGCATAAGTAAAGAAAACAAAGCCTTTTTGTGGACCAATAACATTATTGTTGTAATTTGTTCTTAATGACAGCTAAGCACTAGGGGTGGGGAAAAAAATCGATTCTTAGATGCATCGCGATGCGGACGTGGACGATCCTGAATCGATTCACAAATGTCAAAAAATCGATTTAAAAAAAAAATTTTTTTATATGTATTTATAGTAACGTAATATTGACGGAACGCGAAAGACGGAACTCTGAAGCGCGGAAGTGCAGTGGCGGGACCGTCTGTGGCGTGCATATAACAGAGATGAGATGGCACGCGAGATCCAAACACTTTCCTTGTTAGGTTAAAAGCTGACGTGTGGAAATATTTTGGCTTCTGAAGTTGAAGGGGGTAAGGAGCTGGACAAGAGCCGCACTAGTTGTACGCTTTGTGGAATAAAACCAACGACGGAAACCCGACAAATATGATAAGCCATATGACACGTTTCCAGCCAGAGGAGGAAAAACACTCGGCTGCACCAGTCGTTATATTATTTATTTACTACAAGTATGCTCCTAGTTCAAGCACACATTTATTTTCCTGGTCGTTCTTTGTAATGTTAATAAAATATATTGTGCATTAATTCTTTATGGGTCATTAATTTGTACTTTTAAAGCAAATTATTTATAGTCACACACAAAAGATTCAGATAATCGATTTGTAACATTATAAATGTCTTGTACTTTAACTTTTGATCAACTTAATTTATCCTTGATGAATAAAAGTATAGATTTCTTTTTTCTTTTGCCCAAAAAATAAAAATAAAAATTCTTACCGACTCCAAACATTTGAACGGTATTGTTTAATGTTAAAAAAGCTTTCTATTTCAGATAAATGCTTTGAATTTCTGGGTGATTCTCTGACTCGGGTGCCCTTCAAGTCCCCCAAACTTGCTTCAAATATTTTCAATCGAAGGAAATCACAAAATACATTTTAATGCTGTCAATTAATAGAACCAGGTGCATTTGCATTATAATGCAACAAAATTGCTTTGAAAAAAAATGTAAAGTTAATAAATGTAAAGATAATGGGTTGCCTAAGTAGTAGACAACAAGCATGTTTGCATGTCCTCACTAACCATCATTATATTGTCAATGAATATCAAACAAATAAAAAGTGCAATTAATACCAAAATGTTGCTGCTGCTAATATAATCATATGTTGATCTAGTGTATTTTCGTTTACTGTTGTGAAATGGAAAATCAATAATCGGTAATCGAGAATCGTTAATAATCGAAAATCGACTGTAATCGAATTGGGACTTCAATAATCGTAATCGAATCGAATCGGGAAATCAGACAGATAAACCACCCCTACTAAGCACCCCAACACACATACACGCATTTAAAGTGAATCTTGTGGTTGTTGTTAATAACAGTTTATAATAACAACAGGAATTAATAACATGAAATAATTGTTAATGTAATTGAATATATAATTGTGTTAACAGCAACAATAAATCAGTTTTAATTTAAAAAGTAAAATCAAAGTTTATTTTTTTTTTTTATAAGAAATGAATACTTTTATTCAACAAGGACACATTAAATTAATCAAAAGTGCCAATAAAGACCTTTACATTCTTACAAATAATATTTCAAATTAATTGTTATTTTGACCTTTCTGTTCATTAAAGAATCCCGAGGGGCTTAAATTATATAATCGTTACTGCAAAAATATCAAGCAGCAAAAACATTGCATCATATGATTCACATATCATATTAGAATGATTTTTTGAAGGATCATGTGACACCTGAAGAATGGAGCTTACAGGAATCACAGGATTTCAAAATATATTCACAAACACTACTGTTTTACTGTACTCTTCCCTGACACCTTAACCCACCCTTAAGCCTCCCCTTTCCACCAAACCTGTTCCTGAACTTCCCTGTATCCACCTCAATAACAGCACTAGTGTATTGCAATACAACAACATGAACACAATAAATAGCCTTCGAGTGTATCACATGGTTGAATGTGCCATGACTCAGTCTTCTGCATTGGCTGATGGAAACCAGCGCTTGTGTGCTGACATGAAAAGTCTCCTTGTGTGCAGGTTTGCTGTGGCAACGCCTGAAGAGCTGTTGGCTAATAACGATGACTGTGCGATCTGCTGGGATTCAATGACTAGTGCGCGCAAGCTGCCCTGTGGACATCTCTTCCACAAGTGAGCCACCAGATGTAACTTGCCAGTGCTCTCGTCCTAACAGTTGAAACATTGTTAATCTGATAATTTCTTGTTTATGTCCAGTTCGTGTCTGCGCTCTTGGCTGGAGCAGGACACGTCCTGTCCCACGTGCCGCATGTCTCTGAACATCAGTGAAGGCGTGCGAGAGCGAGAGGAGGGCCAGAGGGAGGTGCTGGATGAGAACATGCCTGCTGGGCCAGGAGCAGAGGCCCGACCACACATCAACCAGCACAATCACTTCTTCCACTTTGATGGTGAGACCGCTCTATACATAATCATGCAGAATCCAAACCCTTTGCTGAGAGGTAGCTGTAGAAATCACTCGTTCACATCTTTATCATATTCCAGTGTTTCCCCTACCATTGCGGCCCGCTGACGAAATCCAGTCATAATAGCGGAATTTACTGTATAACGTGGAATTTCACAGAATTTGTCATTTTTCTAGTAGAATGTAGACTAGTGTGTGTGAATATTAAACCACCAACACTATTTAAACATGAATCCTGCATGTTCTGTGTGAATGAAAGGGCGAAGCACGTGTGACGCTTGCGCTCACAGACACAAATACATGAACTTCCTCTCCTGGCTCTAGATCCACTCTGAAAGTCACTTACCACTTTATTTATGAAAAACTATCATCATGACATAAACACACAGAAACTCAAAAGGTCTTCACGGCAACCCGTCAAAATAAGTTCGATTTAACTTGACAGAAATATATAACTGTTGTACAGTAGAATTTAGATCTGTCTCAATGTAATAATACAAACACGAATCCAAATAAATTATCGATAATACTTTTTTTTTTTTTTTAAGGAATAATGCATTTCTTCCATGTTAAAATTTTAACTTTAAAGCTCGTTGTGCAGCACTTTGTTTGACAAAGTTTATTTAATTTCATATGATTAATGATAAAATTTGTTTTTTATTAATTTTATTGCCAGAAAAAACACAACACAGAAATAGTGTGAAATTGTTTTTCATAGATTTTTTTTTTTTTTTTAATGTTGTATTAGTTTATAATACAGGTCCTTCTCAAAAAATTAGCATATTATGATAAAGTTAATTATTTTCCATAATGTAATGATAAAAATTAAACTTTCATCTATTTTAGATTCATTGCACACCAACTGAAATATTTCAGGTCTTTTATTGTTTTAATACTGATTAAAACTGATTTTGTCATACAGCTCATGAAAACCCAAAATTCCTGTCTCAAAAAATTAGCATATCATGAAAAGGCTTTCTAAACGAGCTATTAACCTAATCATCTGAATCAACTATTTAACTCTAAACACCTGCAAAAGATTCCTGAGGCTTTTAAAAAAAACTTTCCCAACCTGTTTCATTGCTCAAAACCGCAATCATGGGTAAGACTGCCGACCTGACAGCTGTCCAGAAGGCCATCATTGACACCCTCAAGCAGGAGGGTAAGACACCGAAAGACATTTCTGAACAAATAGGCTGTTCCCAGAGTGCTGTATCAAGGCACCTCAGTAGGAAGTCTGTGGGAAGGAAAAAGCGTGGCAAAAAACGCTGCACAACGAGAAGAGGTGACGGACCCTGAGGAAGATTGTGGAGAAGGACCGATTCCAGACCTTGGGGGACCTGCAGAAGTAGAAACATCCAGAGCCACCGTGCACAAGCGTGTGCAGAAAATGGTACCTGGCACCTGCTCACAGTGCCAAAAACACTGGTAAATGGTTTTCTCACCATGGTATTACTGTGCTCAATTGGCCTGCCAACTCTCCTGACCTGAACCCCTTAGAGAATCTGTGGGATATTGTGAAGAGAAAGTTGAGAGATGCAAGACCCAACACTCTGGATGAGCTTAAGGCCGCTATCGAAGCATCCTGGGCCTCCATAACACCTCAGCAGTGCCACAGGCTGATTGCCTCCATGCCACGCCGCATTGAAGCGGTCATTTCTGCGAAAAGATTCCTGACCAAGTATTGAGTGCATAACTGAACATAATCATTTGAAGGTTGACTCTTTTTTTGTATTAAAAACACTTATTTTATTGGTCGGATGACATTTTTTGAGATAGGAATTTTGGGTTTTCATGAGCTGTATGCCAAAATCATCAGTATGAAACTTAAATTTTAAATTTTTAAATAATTAACTTTATCACAATATGCAAATTTTTTAGAAGCACCTGTACATATCAATATCGCCCCTATTCAGTCCTGAGCAAGTTGATTCGCCCTGATGTACAACAATGAGCAGAGGTTAGCCAGTCATAGCAGAGGTGATCTACACACACACTGGAGTCTTGTAAATACATTTTAAAAAGCCGGTTTAAATGGATAGTGCAGTCCAAAAAAAAGTTTCACTGATGAAAATGGCCCATTTTTATCATGTCATTGACTTGAAGAGACCTCTGAAACAAACAGGCTTCTGGTAGTGAAATATATGATCTAAATCTCGGCTGGTTCGCCCTCAGGGTCCCGCATTGCCAGCTGGCTGCCGAGTTTCTCAGTGGAGGTCATGCACACCACCAACATCCTGGGCATCGCACAGGCCAACAACTCCCAGCTCAATGCCATGGTGAGTCCCTCAGCTGGCGTCACACATGCCCACTACCAGCCTCATCAGTTTCACACAAGTTGCCACGTTATTAACCTGCTTTTCCTTAAATGTCTCAGGCCCATCAGATCCAGGAAATGTTTCCACAAGTCCCTTATCATCTGATCCTGCAGGATTTGCAGCTCACACGCTCTGTAGAGGTCACCACTGATAACATCCTGGAGGGCCGGATACAGGTGCCTTTCCCAACACAGGTGAGGCATTTTACAGGCTGAAATTATATGTGGTTTGCATTTCAAACTGGGTCGCTCCAGCAGCGCTAAAATCTCAGCGCAATCTCTTGCTCCACATTGCTGAAGGGGAAGTCATTTCTGCACCACTAGCATCACCAAACTGAATTAAAAACTCCAGAAATTGATCTCTGCCAAAACCCTCCTCCAGATTCACAAACGCTTTGTGAACCTCAGATTTGATAGTTAAATGTGTGTATGTTAATGAATTTGACACATTCATAAATGTTCCAGATTCGGAATAGTTTTCACATTTAGCTAGTTAGTAGGGCTGTGCCATATCATACCGTCCACGATAATACCGGTATAAAATTTTACATGATAAAAAATTGTCATATCGCGATATTGATGATATGATGACGTATGGCGTATTTACGTTACTTAGCGCGCGCACAACAACACAGCAGCATGTCAGCCTCCGGATCAGATCAAGATTTAGTTCCTAAAAAGGGCGCTACTTCAATAGTATGGAAGTTGTTTGAGTACAAGAGGTCAGATCTCCAACAACACAATTTTTTTTTTTTTTTGTCAAATATGCATGAAAACTCGTTTCACCACTTCCCTACTAGCGTACATTTTGCCTAATCTTCCTTCAGAGTTTCCGCAGTTCGGGTACAACAGTCAACACGATTAAACTCTTTCTAAGATGATTCAATGTTACTATTATTATATTTGTAAATAAAAGGTCTATGGTTTCGCATAACACAACTTTATCTTGCTGGACTTTATTGCTGTAACGTTAACTAAATCATCATGTTACTTTCTACCGGCCGGGTGTCTGTTAGAGCAAAACACTAGAGTCAGAGCACTATTGTTCATCACGCGCACAGTAACTGAAATGTAAAACTGTTAAAAGAAAGGACTCAATAAACGATTGCATAGCTAGATGCTGTATATTATACACGACGCTACGCATCAATATTTATTTACTTTGTGCTTTGTTTGAACTGTTCAGTGCGGAGTATTCGACGCGCTGCGCGTGCGCGCTGTGACTCCGTGTTGCTTCAAGCGCATCATTCAGCGCTCGGGATGCGCATAAGCGCTGTGCGATATATTGGAGCCTTTCATATCATAATACTTTTGCGCAATGAAAGATTATTAATAGCCTTTCTTCTGTCCTATCGATCATATGTTGCTGCCTCATTAAACAGCTGTGCTATACATTTTAAACATGCCTCAATTTAAAGTAGACTAGGCTATATAATAATTAATCCTTTTGATTTGTTACCTTGTTTTTTTTTCATGAATGTACAATACAAAGAGCAATGTGTAAAGTTTTACCAGATTTAGTGTTACAATTGTCTCTTATTTATTCCCCACTAAATGTTTTTTCCCTAAATGTTCCGATTTTATACAATTATTGTATAAATTAGGTATTGTATACCTCATTTGATGCTAATCCAAAAACTATGCAAGGCAACTGTTACATTTTGAAGGTTTGTTTGGATTGCCGCTGTTTGTTTAAATTTTTTGTACTTCAAAGTTTAGGTAAATTTTATTAGGTGACAATATTGTGCAGGCTTCTGAAGTTATTGTTAATATTGTTAATGTATTACTGTAGTTATTGTTAAAATAAAATGATAAGGAGTTATGTTATACTTTTTTTTGCACTAATGCTGCTGCCAGCCAGCTGCAATCACCAATAAAACATTGTTTCATATATATTTTTTCTATATCGTGATAAATATCATTATCGCAAATATTCTTGAAATATCGTGATATAATTTTTAGGCTATATCGCCCACCCCTACTAGTTAGTTGGTTAATTTTGTTATATGTTGTTAAATTGTGTTATCAAGATGCAGTGTCGTCTGTTTACCTAAAAGAACACCAAACAATTGTTTGGACTACAAAACTGTACAGATTTTACCTGTAAAAATACAGACACATTCATGAATCTGAAAATTCCCGTCAGAACAGACAATTTACTAAATTAATTCTGTTGGCATTTCATGAACAAAACCCAGTGTGTTGGGGCCGTTTTGCAACATGTCCTGGTTCATTGTCCTTCCAGTCTCCTGTAGATCTATGCTAGCCTGTGTAGTAAAAGTCACTTCTGTTAAGAGTATGTTTCTGTCTCCCTGTACCTCCTCCAGTCTGTGGAGCGCGCACCCCTCCAGGGCAACACTGGACCTGAGGATTCAGCAGGGGCCAGCAGCGGGTCAGAGGTCGCGGCCCCTGAGCCGCAAGACTTCGAGGTTCGTGGGAGCCGCTTCTCCAAGTCTGCGGATGAAAGGCAGAGGATGCTCATGCAGAGGAAGGATGAGCTGCTCCTGAGAGCGCGCAGGTGAGGCTCAGCGGCTCGTCCTGCCGCGCTCCAGTCCGCATCAAACTGTTTCGCTATCTCTGACATTCACATAAGATTTTTGCGTTTTGCCCCCTGGTGCCAGCCACACAAAACTATCGAAATTGATCATGAAGCAGCTGTTACCTTGATCAAATGAATGAATAATGAATGTAGTGACACTTTCACACTAAACAAATGGCCACCAGTATGTTTATATATCTCACAATTCTGACTTTATATCTCGCAATTCTGACTTTATATCTCACAATTCTGACTATATATCACGCAATTCTGACTATGTCTCGCAATTCTGACTTTATATCACGCAATTCTGACTTTATATCACGCAATTCTGACTTTATATCTCGCAATTCTGACTATATCTCGCAATTCTGACTTTATATCTCACAATTCTGACTTTATATCTCACAATTCTGACTTTATATCTCACAATTCTGACTTTATATCTCACAATTCTGACTTTATATCTCACAATTCTGACTATATATCTCACAATTCTGACTTTATATCTCACAATTCTGACTTTATATCTCACAATTCTGACTATATATCTCACAATTCTGACTTTATATCTCGCAATTCTGACTTTATATCTCACAATTCTGACTATATATCTCACAATTCTGACTTTATATCTCGCAATTCTGACTTTATATCTCACAATTCTGACTATATATCACGCAATTCTGACTATGTCTCGCAATTCTGACTTTATATCTCACAATTCTGACTTTATATCTCACAATTCTGACTATATCTCACAATTCTGACTTTATATCTCTTAATTCTGACTTTATATCTCGCAATTCTGTCTTTATATCTCGCAATTCTGACTTTATATCTCACAATTCTGACTATATCTCACAATTCTGACTTTATATCTCTTAATTCTGACTTTATATCTCGCAATTCTGACTTTATATCATGCAATTCTGACTGTCTCACAATTCTGACTTTATATCTCGCAATTCTGACTTTATATCTCACAATTCTGACTATATATCACGCAATTCTGACTATGTCTCGCAATTCTGACTATATCTCACAATTCTGACATTATATCTCGCAATTCTGTCTTTATATCTCGCAATTCTGACTTTATATCTCACAATTCTGACTATATCTCACAATTCTGACTTTATATCTCTTAATTCTGACTTTATATCTCGCAATTCTGACTTTATATCATGCAATTCTGACTGTCTCACAATTCTGACTTTATATCTCACAATTCTGACTTTATATCTCACAATTCTGACTATATCTCACAATTCTGACTTTATATCTCTTAATTCTGACTTTATATCTCGCAATTCTGACTTTATATCTCACAATTCTGACTTTATATCTCACAATTCTGACTTTATATCTCTTAATTCTGACTTTATATCTCACAATTCTGACTTTATATCTCTTAATTCTGACTTTATATCATGCAATTCTGACTGTCTCACAATTCTGACTTTATATCTCACAATTCTGACTTTATATCTCGCAATTCTGACTTTATATCTCGCAATTCTGACTTTATATCTCGCAATTCTGACTTTATATCACGCAATTCTGACTTTATATCTCGCAATTCTGACTTTATATCTCGCAATTCTGACTTTATATCTCGCAATTCTGACTTTATATCTCGCAATTCTGACTTTATATCATGCAATTCTGACTGTCTCGCAATTCTGACTTTATATCTCGCAATTCTGACTTTATATCACAATTCTGACTTTATATCTCACAATTCTGACTATATATCACGCAATTCTGACTATGTCTCGCAATCCTGACTTTATATCTCACAATTCTGACTTTATATCTCACAATTCTGACTTTATATCTCGCACTTCTGACTTTATATCACAATTCTGACTTTATATCTTGCAATTCTGACTTTATATCACAATTCTGACTTTATATCTCACAAGTCTGACTTTATATCACGCAATTCTGACTTTATATCTCACAATTCTGACATTATATCTCGCAATTCTGACTTTATATCTCGCAATTCTGACTTTATATCACGCAATTCTGACTGTCTCACAATTCTGACTTCATATCTCGCAATTCTGACTCGCAATTCTGACTATATATTGTAATTCTGACTTTATATCTCGTAATTCTGACTATATCTCGCAATTCTGACTTTATATCTTGCAATTGCGACTTTATTTCTCACAATTCTGACTTTATATCACGCAATTCTGACTTTATGTCTCGCAATTCTGACTTCATATCTCGCAATTTTGAGATAAAAAGTCGCAATTATTATAAACAAGCTTCCATAATATCCAGTTGGGTGGCCATATACAGTATAGCTGCACAAAAAGTTATGGTTGCACTCTATTTTACAGTTTGTGCACTTTCAATGTACTTGCAAGTGTACTTGCCTAGAAAATACGAGGTAGTGTAAGGTAACTACATGGGTTAAGGTTAGGTTCTGGACTAGTACCTAGTTATTACCCAGTTATTGTAATTACTACAATAAGTATATAGTATGTACATCCAAAACAAGACTGTAAAATTAAGTGCTACCAAAGTTGTTTATATTAACACGACTAATGCTCAGTTTGGCAAATTCTACGTAAAAAATTAATGAATGAATTTACACGTCGAAAATTAATCCTGGTCTGTTATTTGTCAGAGATAGTGAAAAGTCGGCTACCGTATGCAAACTTGAATGATAAATGGGAATGCCCCAAGGCTTTGGCTTGGGTCCTATGAAGTTTGAGTTTTTAAGACGCCGTGTTCTCTCTTTGTTAGACGATATCTTCACAAAAAGCCGGATGAAGGGGATGTGTTTTCTTCTGCTGATAATGATGACGCCATGCCCTCGATGGAGGACGAGGACTCTGACTCTGTGACGCTGCGGCGCAGGAGGATGGCGGCCGCTGCGGAGCGACGCATGCAGAGACACGAGCCCTCCCCGTTCTGAGCCCAGCAGACACATGCATGATGCGTCTGTGAGACAGCCGTGCCGTCACAGAATTTCTGGCTGATCGATGCACATGTGTGCTAGATGCAACTATACAAGTACCCATCAAACATGTCAAATTGTCCATTGGAGTAATATACGGTGCCTTGGTGCACCAGTCAAATTTTGGTAAGCATTACGTAAAAGGCACATGTAACTTTATCAACGCGGAATCATTTTAAATATCTTCGTACCTGAACAAGTGTGGCTTTGACCGCTGCTCGTTAAATAGAGGATTTCACGAGTTTGAATTTGTTTTTTCTTCTGGAATGCTGCATTTCTTAAGCATCTTTGTACGATTTTAACAGAATTATGTTGCATACTAACAGCTAGACTCAGTCTAGAGCTTAAGCGTCATGCTTAAGAGCATGCTAGGGTTGTAATTTCCAGTTTCTTTCTTTATCCAGCAAATATCCACTATTTTGCTACTGGTTACTGAATCGGCCTTTAGGTCGATTTGGGACAATCTCGTGTGCTTACGATAATGCCACCCTGACTCTTAGAGTCTCTGAGGAGAGTGGCTTCGATCCTAGCGTCTGCTCCTGCGTTGGTGTGACAACAAAAGCCTCTGTGTGTCAGAAGAGGCGTTTGTTTAGTCACATGATCTTGTTTCTCTTGCCATAATGTTGTCATTCAAAGCAGACATGCTTTATATTTAATTTATCTGACACTGAACGTGTGCTGTTGGGAATGTTTCATCCACTTTGAGCTGCAGGAAAGCAGACTGTGATCTGGCCTCCAGTCGGGGTCAACACGTCCTATCCTCAAGTTCAGCGAACCGTTTCCTTTCCATGCAGATGACATGGCGCTTCTACGCCGAGTAAGGTCTATTTGATTGGGTTACTCGGCGTACTATGGTCAAGAGGTCAGTTTTGTAGCTTTTTGCTGTCGGCGTTTTATTCTGTTTGCATTTGAATGGTTGTAAAGACCTTTATTCTTTAGCACACTAATGTCTACAAATGCTTGTCTTTTTCTGGCCCACGGAATTTATAAGGTATTTTCACACGATAATTTGGCAAAATCTTGCATGTTTAGTTTGAAGTGAACAAGCTTTTCATGTAATAGCGTGTGACTTTTAATACACATTTGCCTTTGGTTAAATAACCATAACCCCAAACAACATTACCATGGTCACTTACACATTTTATTTTGTTAGTGTGTGTATGTATGTATATATAATATATATATATATATATATATATATACATACATACATGCACACATATAGCCAGCCCATTTGTCATTCTCAAAAAAGAAGCATGTCTTCAGAATTGTTTCTGATGTTTTACACTGTGAATCTACGGTCAAATCTTTTTATCGTCACATGGACATTTTGACAAGTGTTTTCTTTTTTTTCTTTTTTTACCTTTCATGTAGAAGTCTTTTTCTATGCATGAAATCACTGACCGTTTGTTTCCTGATCGTCTTTCCCAAAGACTCTCCTGGTGATTTGCTTTCCTGAAGCTGGTTATGGTGATCGTCATGACCTTATCCATATAGATTATTTATGTTTTGGTTGCACAGATGCACCTTTCAATAGTATTTAAAAATTAAATGTATTAATGAAATATCCACTGGACTGATTCAGATCGTCATAGGTAATTTGGTTGAAGTTTGTGCTGTGCTTGGAAACCAGAGGGAAGCATTGGATTGCATTATGTACACAATTCATTCATTTGTGCCTCAAATCTACAGTGGAATAATAATAGTCTGAATTGTGTAAATACTTTTGTAATAAAGACTGTAAAATACATGTGAAATGACCCTGTACAAAATAAAAGTCACAGCTGCTTTAGAAGCTTTTACCCACATTTCCCTGTTTCCTAGTGTGTTTTTGGAATAAAACCATAGAAATGTAGTGGTGCTGTCAACATTGCAATACATTTTTGTCCAGTTTAACTCGTTAAAATATTTATATTAAAAAGTATTTAAAATATACTGTCTTTGTTTCTACATTAATCAATAAAAAATGTAAGCGTTTTTAAATAAATTGAGTGATTAACCATAAAACCGTATTCTAGACTAATGTGGGCGAAATAGTTTTGATTTATTTAAAAAAAAAAAAAAAATACAAGACTTGGCTACTTTTCCTAAGTTTCCCTCCTAAACACACAGCATTTTTTGACTCAGTTCTACAATGTTAAGTGGGTGAAAAAAAAAACCCCCTCCTTTATCTTGTATTTGGGTCAAAAATGGGCACCCATAGAAATGAATGGGGAAAAACTGTAATTTAGAGCATTCTAAAATAAGCCAAAATAAGACACCAGGTGACAGCAAAGTCACTTCATCTTTAGGTTTTAGCTCTAAGAACTTATTGGAATGATATTTTAATGTAGTTAAAAAAAATAAAACATAAAAACAAGCATAATTTACATAGAAAATATGGTACTTTTTGAAGTAAATAAATTCAAAATACCCCCCTAAATAAAAAAAAAAAAAAACCATAAATGGTAGACTAAACTTTATCGAAGACGGAGATATAACATTTATAATAAATAAAAATTAGAATCACACCTGAGTCCTCTGTGCCCACATTTCTCCACAATTACAGGATTAAGGGCTTTACAGTGAGTACGGTTTGAGGGTTGGTTAAGAGCAGTGTGTAAGCACCGTGTGTTGATTGACACTAGAGGGCGCCACAGGTCCACCGGCGATCCAAATATGGCTGAATATGAACGAATGTTTGCTGGACACTGGCCAGAACATTTGCCGCCTTCATGACATAGGCTACTACTTTTACTTCATTTGATAATCTGAAGTGAACTCAAAAGCAAATTAAGAGCAAAGCTAATTGCAATGATCAATTGATTTGATAAGTGTTGTGCTCTCTTCACGTATTGACTGCCTCAGTCTCTAATGAAGAGTTCATTGATTAACGCTTTAGCTGCCATCGGCTCAGTTCATAAAGCAGGATTTGGGATCATCACTCCAGAGACTCCTGGAATGAGGGACGATTCCCACAGAAAGGCATGTGTGTTTGGAAAGACAGCTCGACCCAGCTCGTGTTAGAGAGGTGTAAGCAGCAATCTTTTTATTACACTTATTTTCTACTTCAAGACAAAAATAGCCTATTATTTTCTCTATCACAGATAAATCTATGTAGAGGCATTCAATATTAACCAACTAAAACAAAGACTATTTGCCGTTTTCAATGCGTCAGCAGTTTTAATTGTTTTGTTTGTTTTTGTTGTGTGTACTGTAGCTACTCAATATGCTATTTCATTATGGACCAAACCTGCAGAAATTAAAAAAATATATAATTATTTAGTTAATAAATAGATAAATAGATTTCATTTGATTATAGGAAAATAAATAAAACAATAACGACTTGATAAAATAAATGAGTCATTTTTAATCAAATTTATCCTACCGCCGAATTTATGATTTTATGCTTTAATTTTTGATAAAATAAGGTTCATTTCAACAACTTTGAGTCATATTATCAGATTAAATCAAGGCATGTTAAATATGTTTTTCATGCGGTCAGGTGTTTTTTGTTTTTGTTTTTTTTTTCTTATATTACATGCACAGAATAAGGCCTTATAAATACTCACAAGAGTAGGCTATTTAAGTGTATTTAAATTGTTGGATTGGTGTTCATGAAGCAGTGCATATTTAAAAGAAAATAGTCTGTGTTTAACTCTATTTAATTCTTCTGTCGTGGTTTTTAGATCAGACGACGACTGCGGGAAAATGCATGTTCGTGTGACGTCAGACGCATCTGTCATAACGCTTATGATGTTTGAGCTCGTTGGCGGGTTGAAATGTTTCCCCTGAGTGCTTTTACACCGGCAGAAATCAATAGCGGCTCTGCTGTCACCCTCTCAGCTCGGAGACTGCCGTTCAAGCCGGTTTGATGTGTCTCTTCAGCGCTTCTCACGGGGACTATCGAGAGCCGTCACTAAATCATGTCAGCTTTTTCTCTCTGATTTTCGCGGCTTTTCTGTCGCTTTTCCCGCGCAGCGCGGATGGGACATGAATCAATAGCAACTTTGATTTCGCGCCATGTGAAGTAGCAGCTCACAACTTTGAATGCGTCCATCACCTCAATTTAACCTTTTTAGTGCTGAAAGAATAACTTTGAGCGGCTGCTTTTTCTTCTTCTTCTTAGGTTTTCAAAGTTTTATGAAGTCAGTTAACATCATTTTGTAGATCAAGCGACACATCAGAGTTCAGAAATGATTGACGTTATAAGGCAATATATTGGAAAAAGACCTGTTTGTTCACCCATAAATGAAATGTCATGATTTATTCATGTCATTCCAACTAAAACTATTTTATTTCTAATGTGAAACATGATGTTTTAAGCATCAATTTTCCATACAACGTCAACGACAGTGGATGGAAGGCATACGGTCAAAAATACTTATTTCACCTGGTTTGACATCACTGTCAGGAAACACCACTTGACCTTCCATGTCATGTGACCAATCTCAACCCAAGTTTGAAAGCTACAACTTAGGGGCTGTTTACACGACACCATTTGCAACTAAAAAGGTAAAATGGCTCTTTGTTCGTTGTTTTTTTTGTTTGTTTGTTTTTTTTGAAAATGCAAGCTTTTGAAAACAGTCGTAATCAGCCAAAAACGCAAATCTGTGGAAACGACGACGTCACACACATTTGGTTTGCTGGATAGAGTTCTGAATAGAGGGCCTGTTGAAATTAGTGAAGCGGAAGTTGGCAAAATGACAGAAATTGCATCAGAATTGTTAATTGTTTGACGTAATTAGGAACAAAACCAATAAAAGAGAACAAAATCATCATGAAGACATGAGCTAACTCATTCAGTTCAATTCAATTTGGGTAAACTTGGCCGATTATCTATTTTTCCTAATACTGACTGGATGTGAGCATCCTCACTATGGGTCAAAGGTTAATAAAATCCTCCTTTTCCCGTCCTGTTAAAATCTACTCTGACTGATAACCCCCAGTCCAAACTAAGCCTCTAATCACAATATTATTAGAGAAACCCCATCTGATCAGTATATAAATCTCTCCATCCAATTACAAGATGTAATATTTCTGCAGTGGCGCTGGTAATGAGCTCTAATGCCTGAGCTTCAGTTAATCCCCCTCGGATGCAGCACAGATCAGATGTTGCCTCTGTAATTAGACTGGCAGAAAATCATTATTTCATGTTTGAGGAAAGAAGGAAGTCAAAGGAGATGTAGTCCCTCTGCCGCTCCTTTCTGAAATGTAAATTTCAGTTTAATGTTTTAATCTAGAGTGTTGAGTGTTTGCGTAGTACTCTAGACTGATAACCGTAGACTAACAGTACAATTATTTAAATAAAAGTGGTATGAATGTTCAAGGGAGTCTTCTTTTACGCCTGGAATTGTAAGCTTAAAGTCACACACTTGTGCTCATCTATTAAAGAGGAACTATGCCCATTCTTGATTTTGTTTTTGGGTCTACTTGGTTTTCATGCTTAAATGTTCAAAAAACACCTCATGTTTCCTCGTATCTGACATTGCTCACTTGACAGTAACACTCTGTTTAGTTTTATGTCTGTATGAAGCGCCTCCTTCTCAAAAAGCACAATGTGCTCTGATTGGTTGGCTGGACTGGTGTGTTGTGATTGGTCAACCTATTTGAGCGTGTTTTGGGAATGTAAAGCCCATTACCATCACTGCATTAGATCCAGGGTCAGGGTGGGAAAACCAGCATCTCCTGAGCCCTGTTTACACCTGGTATTAGGATGCGCTTTGGATTGAGCGGATCACAAGTGGACGAGGTAAACGAGGTGTTTTGAGCTTCTCAACTTTCCACCACTTCCAGAGGTAGTTAAAAACACATTTGACCGAATTGCTTTCGTAGTGACATGTCCGGCCGTCGATGTCAGCTTTTGCTTTCTGTAGTCGCCATCAGTGGCGGCTCCAGACAATTTTGATTGGGGGGGCAATGGGGGGTCCTGGTCATTTCAAGGGGGGGTCTCATGAAAACCAACAAAAAAATACAGTTGACACGGCTAATAACTGCATATTACTGCTACTTAACAACAAAAACAACACAGCATATCAACTACTTTGTTTTTAATTAATTTCGGTTTGCAAACAATATGCTCGAACTTTAATTGCCATAGCCACACCACACCCATTACAGAAAACATATTTACAAAATGTGATGATTGGTTGTAATTTCAGAGGGAGTCAGTAGTGGTGGCTGGGGGTTGATACGAACATGGATGAATAAAGCAGCAGAGAAAATGTTCATGAAAAAGATGCAGTTTAATTCAAGCACAACAATGAACAAAACACAAAATAGTATCTATTCTCATACTCTCACCACCTTTTGATTGCCCTACTTTACACTTAAAGCCCTGTTTTAAGATAGTTTCTGATGAAATAGAACAGTTAAGATTGAAATTTGGTCAAATTAGCTACTGCTGTCCCGAGAACTTGTGTTAGCACTGGAACAATCATTCATAAAACGCATAAACTTTCGTTTACAAAGACGTGAAACTCACCGAGTGGTCTGGGATGTTCACTGAAATGCTCACGCAAAAATCGCTGCAAAAGATGTTTTCCAAAAGGTTTTAAAATAGTTTTTGTACAACTACATTGACTTGACTTGGGACAAAACTACGATATAAAACCATGGAAGGCATCTTTTACAGCGATTTTATTATGATTTTGTATTCTATTTCATCAGCAACGATCTTAAAACAGGGCTTTAAGAGTAAAATACCGAACTAACCCTTTAAGTCTCCAGTCTCCTCCTGTGTCTACTTCTCTCCTCTTAACTCTCCAGTCTCCATCAAGCAGGCCTCGCCCTCCACGGCAACAGGTATATTTTCACTCCTATTGCTATA